AATTCTCACTATAAAGGTTTTAGAAACCTACAATATGTAAGTTTCCACAAGTATCTCTAAGAGTATCCATCTTTGATTTATAGAACAAACAGCTTCATAAGGAGGTTTTTGTTTGGATGTTGAAACATCAGATGAAGCATCAGTTAAATTACCTCAAATCAATGGGATGGATTTAGTTTATGTTCTTATATCTAAAGCTTCTTTGGGAGAAAGTCAATTGAACTGCCACTGCAATCAATCCAACAACTTGAATAGATGATAGTCGATACGTGCAATAGAATTTTTTTTCTTTATCACACTGTCATTCTTGTACATATAGATATATAGATACTTTGCAAAATACTCTATCTATTCAGCTTATTTACATATATGAAACATCAGTCTCAATCCTACCTGATCATTGTTAGCTATTAGAAATACATATTTCTTCACTTCAAGCCTATTTTATGATACTATGCTTTTATATAATGTTTGGGCTACAATAGAAGTAAAATGATCAATATTTGTTCTATTTATAAAATAGATATAAATTATCTATTTGCAGTTTGAATGCTTTAACTGAGATATCAAGGATTGTTATGGAAAGCAAGCTGTTATCGAGTTTGGTGTGTCTACTATTCTGGAAGGTAGGCAACTTTCCCCTGCAAGTAGAAAGTAAACTTTCCATCAAATATTGGGTGTAGTTAGATAAGGGAACGATACTATTCCGACAGAGTTGGAAATTCTACTGAACAGATTGCCTACATATTTACGCTGGATTTGTTTGTTTACATTTGAAACAAAGTTTTTTATCGCCCACTTCTTTCCGAGGTGGTTGAACATGAAAAAAATAATTGTCAGCTTAAAATGGGATTCGAAATGCTCGCATTTGTTTAATTGTCCACATTTTTTCTATTTGATATTCTTCTTTGCAATTTTAGCAGTGAAATAAATTCGCATATGACTTTGGATGCCGCGATGTAGGCACCGCTGCCAGTCACTAGCGGCGACCGGCGAGCACCGACCCACTAAAACTATGGCACACAAGCAGCGGGTGCTGTGGGTACAACGGGTACAGCGGGTACAGGGAGTGGAGCGAAAATTGAGAAAAAATAGGAAATACTTTGTAGAGTGTGTAGTGTCCTTTGCCTTTGGGGCGCAGAATTTAATTCCTTTTATTTCTTTTTAATTTTTATTACATTTCGTATATTAGCTTTGACTTTAGTGAATCCACTTTGAATTATTTTCTGTATTATTTTTCTTTTAATTTTATTATTATTTATTTTATTTTATATCCTTTTTGGCTTATTTTCCTGTGAGTAGGGCTTGTGCCGGTGCCATTGCCGTTACAGTTGCTGTGGCGTTGCTTTATTGCAGTGTCGCTGACCAGTGCTCCTCAGCCCGGTCAGCGTGCAGTCATGTTTACTTATGGACTCTGTGAGGATCAGCGGAGCACACACACTGTGTTAGTTATTGTCCTTTGGCGACTGTTTACGACAAACACACGTCGAGGAGTAGGAAATTAAAAATGGCGAAATAAAGTTAAAATATTTTTTATGGCTCGAATTGAAAATAAAAATGTACATAAAAATTATAGAAGCAAAGCACAAAAAGCAAATAATAAACAAGAAAAAGAGAAATTAGACTTAAAAGATTGTGAAATGCAAAGCAACGGTTGGCACCGAACTATGGCGGGCATGAGGGCCGTGGGTGGGCAGCGCCTGCTATTTTACACGCTTGTTTGTAAAATAGCAAAAAAAAGACTAAGTTCGCAAGGCGAGATGCAAAGAAAAAAGTGGACAATATCCAATTAAGTAAAAATTGCTTAAAACCGAGCAAAGTACATATTTTTTTCGCTTAAAGCACAAATATGAACAAAGGATTAACTGCTCCTTTTCAATATAAACTTTTGTGTTTTAGCAAAATTACTCGTAAGTAAATAAATTGAATTAAGCGTAAAAAACTGCAGGAAATTTATCGCCTGATAACGTGGCTAGTTTGTCTTGTCACCAGCAAGAGAAGCTGGAAAATGTTTCAATTTCAAATATTGTCAAAAAACGTCAATCCAATCTTCCAATCCAATTTTGATAGAGTGATTTTCTGTGGGAGGTCTGATGCAATATCTGTGAGAACAAAACTTCCTGTTTCCTTTATGGCATCTTTTTTGGTTCTAATGTCCAGAATTGTAATTTTATACTGAAACATTTCGGAAGGCCCCCAAGAGCTACAAAGTTTCATAAAAAGGCACAACTCTGATTTTTCCAACACGCCCAATTGACATGCCGGAGTTCAATGAAGACAAACGTATTTCCACTACGCCATATATCAATATACCTTAGTTTTCGAGATATTGAACTTTGAACTTTGAAAATATTACGTAAAAACCATCAATAACAGTAAACATGCCAGATGGCATTGTTAGAGCAATCAACATTAAAATTAGAGGTACCAGTTGACAATAGACGCCGGATATAGTTTTTGTTTTTGTGATCAATGTAAGATATTGATACTTTTAGTATCGATATCTCAAGAAGTAAGCAAAAACGGTATATTATGTAGTAAAAGAAGTTGCTCAAAACAGTTGTCTTTACTAAAATTCGTTATCAGAGTGGCATACTTTGAACATCAGATCAGAATCAGCTTCTAGTAATGCTCACTTCCTGAGATCATGATTTTAAGTCTAGTATTCTTAATAAAATAAAGAAGTTGTGATTATATCATACCATCGTTTGTTCAGATTTAACTTATGAATGCGCAGATAAAGCTAAGTAAAGCTAAGTATCTAGCTGCCTAAACTATAAGGTTAACGAAAAATCTTTGAACCGGTGATACAATATCACCTTTCGTTTAAAAGAAAAGCAGTTTAAAAAAACAGTGACAGCGGTATTCCTTTAGTGGCGTAACGCCATTGAGGTGGTCGAATTAAGGAGAATCTCAAAAAAGATATCTTGATGCGATTGAAAACGATCTCAAAAAGTTATATATACAAAACTGCAGAATAGTCAATGATTGAATAGACTGAGAAGGATGGCAAAGAAAACTTTGGTTCACTCAGGACTATATTGCCTTATATATATCTGTAATATATAGATATTAGAAGATATTCTCCAAATTTTAAAAACCCAGAATACTAAGTAAATACTATTGATTGTTGATTTTTAAATACGATAGAAATAGATGTTACTAAGTCGACTTCTTCTCAAAATATATATTTGACTGGAATTGACTGATTATGCTATAGAAATGGGAGAAGAATTATAAATAATTTTGAGAGCAGTAGAAATTTTTAATGCTTAATTTTTAAAAACTTGAGATGTTTTTATAATGATTTTTACTTGAAAATTGAAAAAAAAATAATACAAGCATTATACAAGTATAGTCTTTTAGCAGAGAATATTTGCAAAAATAGCATAGTCATTCACTTTAACATACATATTCATTTAAAGCATATAGGCATTGATAAAAGTATATATAAATATATTAAAATTTATATCTATCGATTTTTATAGGGCAAATGTCTAGTTTTCTGGTGGGTTCCGAAACATAAAGGACATGAGACAATAAAAGAACTGTTTGTCTCGTCAAATGAGGAACCAAACATCTATTCACTGGGGTGTAAGATAAAAAAAACTCTGGTATTGGTGTAAGTACCAATATAAAAATTACTTTTAAGTTTGTAAAGCTCAAAGACAAAGCAAGAGATTTATAGATATAAGCAGAGAGGGAACCGGGTTTCAGTTACAGCATTCAGGCTGAGTTACTGTGTGAATATGAGCCATTTCAGTGAGTAATATTTACCATTTTTGTAAAATGGATATTAAAACTTCGTAACACATAGTGGGAAATGACTTGATTCATACTACCTATGGAATAAAATAAAACTATTAAAGGTTGCTCTAGCTTATCTAAAGTCTAATGATCGACTGGAGTGAACTGGAGTGAACACAATAGATCAACTGAGTTGCCATGTAGATTAATTTTCACTTCATTAAAGCAATAATTCTCTGTCTTAAGAGTAGAATTAGGATGACATATGACAAGTGAATTTTCTAAAATTTCAGGTTTTTTTAGATCAAAAACAATATGGAAGCAGAAAAGTACAGGGTCTTTAACTGTTATCTGTTTTTAAAACATATATGAATGAATGTATATATCGGCAAAATCTATGAATCATCAGTAACTGCTTATAAAATTATTGGTGGTCATATTTCAGCCACCACTGTACTTTGAACTTGAAATTGAAATGAAAGTTTGTGTGATCTTCGTTGTCATTTCATAATCTTTTGGAGCACAAGAACTACTTGCACTTTCCGTCTGAACTCAAAAAAGTTTATTGACTTCAACGGCTTCAGAGAGCGTCCACAGCTTCATTGATGAATGAAATATTGAATGAAAAAGTATCTGAAAATAATTCATGAAGTCAAGACGAGTTTGAGTTTGTCTACATAAACAAATAAGCCGACAGATATTTCTTATCTTTTTGACCCACTTCGGTGCCGTGTGTGGGTGCGTCCACCAGTTAATTTATTGCTTATTATGGGTTATTATTTTACATCTAAGATTCTTTGACACTCTGAAGAGATTGAAGCAACAAAAGTGAAAAAAGAAACTTTAAATAAGCAAATATTTTTTACCTCGAGCGATGATACTCGTACTTTTGCCGGTTTCGTGATGAAAACAAACAATGGAGCCCAACAAAGTATCATCAATTGGATTGGAAACATATGATTAAAGTTAATTTTTAGGAAAACTGAAACTTGAAGCTTTTTCTTTATTTTTAAATTTATTCATACGAAGAAAAAATAAAAGAAATCGATGAAGACTGACGTCTAAACTCGAAGACTTCGGATGGCATTATTAGTTTTGCGGGCTTCGTTGGCAGACGTTGTCATATTGAAAGCGTTTGTGATATCGAAGATTAGAAATTTGTTAAATCTTAAAATAATTTTAATTAATTTAATTTTTTTAGTCTTAAATGAATTAATTTATATAAAAAAAAATCTTACGAATTTCACTTACTAATGGCTATTAAGAATATTTTAATTGTGTCGTTGACATTTTGTCTAATAAAATGCATTACTGCTTTATATGAGGAATGCAATCATGTAGTGAATTTGAGACCCGGTGAGAAAATATATATTAACTCACCTTACTATCCCGATCAATATCCAATCGGCACATCCTGTCGTTATACGGTAACGGCACCACTGGATCACGAGTTGAGTTTTAAGTGCAATATACGATTAAGCTCGGTAAGTAAAGCCAAGGTGTGCTACAAAAATAGTTTACTTAAGATTTTCATATATAAAAATTTTTCGACAATGAAAACATACCGATATGTAGCGATGCAGAAAAACCAGGCATTGAAAAAGTTTTTTAGAAGGAAAAATAAATTATTAAAAATCAGTTCTTGCATTTTCAAGTGTCTTCAACTAGTATTTTCTGTAAAAGTAAATATGTGAAGTATTTGAATGCAGTTCCTATGATGGAGTAAAAAAATATTGCTTTTAAGTGGAAGTTCTAAAGCCACTTGACCAGATCCATTTACTTAAACATCAAACCTTTGCTTCGGTCTCAATTCATATAATTTGAATGTAATTCAAAAAACAAGCTCCTTTTCAAATAATATTTTCACAGCAATTAAGTGAAAATAGGTTTTTGTTTTGATACTCAATTTCTAACAAATTAGCACCTTTTAAAGTGACTACCCACTCACAACAAAACGCCAAACTGGCATTCCTCAGCGGAAGTTAATCCCACTGCGTACCACGGCAGACAGATGCTTCCTCATTCCAACAAAAAAACTGTGGAAAAAATTTAATATTTATATTTTAGCACAACATATTCTTAGTTAAAATTTCATTTTGATCCTTTAAGCCTCGAAAAAGCGTAGGAGGAAATATCCGAGAAGTGCTCGACTTGCACAATTTCACTTCTGAATGCTTCGAGTTAAGCTGTTAAAATCCCAAAACTCTTTATTTTTATGTGTTATTCAAAGCAGTTTTTTTTGTTTTTTTTGTTTTTTGACTTTTTTCCTACTTCATCATAAACTTTTCTTTGCAAATCTTTTCACACACATTAACAATAAATAAAAAAGAAATTTTTTTTATAGCCACCCGCAGCCACGCGCTGCCTGAACGAGGTCTTCTATTTCAACCGTGAAGGAAGTGAATTTTTAACGGATTCCGAGTATTTTTGTGGGTCAGGCACAATGGAAAGGAAAAGTTTTCTGAATAAAGCGGTTATTTCATACATTTCGACACCCATTTACAAACGCAATTTGCCAAAAGTATCAGAAGCAGCAATAAAAACAACAACAGCATCCACAACAAAAAGTCCCACCTTCACGGCAACATCTAAGGAAACCCTTACAACCGTTGGCGCAAACGGCAGTGGCAACACTACTTCCGCCGGCATTAAGGTACAGCAAGTCAAAACGGAAGCTGACTTAAATAATGCCTTGGCATATGTAGTCGCTTTGTTGTCCAACAACTTTGACGAAAGTGACTACACAACATCCACATCCACATCCAGACCCACACCAACAATAATGGCCATAAAATCATCAACAATTGCAACAAGAAAGAAGCAAAAGAAAACAAATCCTCCAGCAACAAGTAAAATCTCGTCCCACTCACCCACCGTCGCAGGTGCATCGAATGTCAGATTTTCGAATAAAGCGAAGCCAACAGTAAAGAAAGCAACACCAACAACAACAGCAGCGACAACAACAAGAACGGCAACAAAAAAAACTAAAAGCTTGGCTACCGTGTCTGATGTCTTATCCTCAATCACGTGGCAGCACACTTCCATAATGGCCAATTCCTACTCACTTTCCAACACTTCAATGACTTCGAGTAAACGTGGCAGAATTGTTTCCAACTCTGCTGGCTATAGTCTTTTCAATGGTGCTAATGGAGTCGGAGGTGGTGCTTTTTCTTGTCTTGTGGAAGTTATTGAGCCACAATGTGATTGCGGTTGGAGTATGTCAACGAAGATTGCTGGCATCTCGAGTGTCGCTGGTGTACATGAGTTTCCGTCAATGGCAGGCGTATTGACTGTTCGATTCAATAAGATTTTTTGCGGCGCCGCTATAAGTAAGTAGGAGTATCGATAGGAAAACTAAAGGAGTACCTGTTATCATATGACTTGAACATTTTATTTCATCAATGCTATAGGCATTGACAAAGTAGTTTTTCAGAGACGACAATACAATGAAAGAATATTTTCCAACTTAAAAAAATGAAAGGTGAAAGGTCTACCTATTGAGCCAGAGAATATTTTAGTCATTTAATTGCTCTATTTGAGTTCATATTGAAATTATCTTAAAATTATCTTTTAGTTTCTTTTTTAGTAATGAAATTATTGATAGAAGTTATCAATAAAATAAGTAAGATTATTTATAAGGGAAAATCTGCGGTAACTAACTATCATCTCGACCCCTTATGAATTTGTTGCAATCATGATTTAATAATAAGCTGCAGCACTATAAGCATTTTATTTTCTTTGAGAACATTATGAGGTTCCGATATCTGGTTCTGACAGTTTTCCAAGATCTTTGATTCTTCTTCTTCTTCTATAAAAAGAGATAGAGATAGTCAGTTGCTTCTACTATTTCCTAGATTTGATTGATTTGAAGATAGATGTGCAAGTGGCTGGTAGTAAGTTCGATAAGAGAAGTATCAAATGAACTATTTTAGAGTATTTTGAATTTCAAATGACAATTGATTATTGACGTATTTTATATTAAAATTATTTGACCTATGATCGTGAGCTGAAAGACTAGCTAGTAAAAAGCTTCAAACAAGCAATTCTCCCACTGAACTCAAATTGAATTTATTTAAGTTTTAATCTTTAGAATTCGATGAATTTCCAAAAAATATCTCAGCTAAAAATTATTTTATTTTTTTTTACAGTACATCACCGATATTTGCTCTCAGCGGCGCATTGTTTCCTAACGGGAGAGACAAATCGTACAGACTTGATTCGCATAGTTGTGGGAGAGCATGACGTATCGACGTGTGAGTTCATTATTTAAATATCATTTATATTTTTTGCAAGGTTTAGATTATTCATATTATGATTGCAATAATAAAAAAAATCTTGTTTTAGTATTCGACTCAGTTTATACACGCACCTATGAAATAGAATCCATCACACCTCACGAGTATTTCCGCTCCACTGCTACAAATGTACGTAACGATATTGCTTTACTACGTACACGCTACAGTATGGAATGGAATCGTGCCGTAGGACCTGCTTGCCTACCATTTCGTTATGTAGACGGCAGCAAGCCGCCCAGACCGGGTCAACAGTTAGTCACCGCCGGTTGGGGTACAACGACCTTTGGTGGAGCACAATCGTCAGTGTTGCTGAAAACTACATTAGATGTAATATCTCTGGAGCAATGTCGGCGAAGACTGCAGTCAGTGCCGCCAGCTGCATTCTGCACGTACACACCGGGCACTGACACTTGCCAATATGATTCTGGCGGTGCACTATATGCTAGAGGAAATCATCTTTTTGCCATAGGTATTATCAGTTATGGTTTTGCATGTGCATCGCAGCAGCCATCGGTGAATACGAAGATTGCCAGTTATTTAAAATGGATCAGAAATAAAACTCCAGAAGTAAGATACTGTATTAAATGAAACTTTCATTTTTTCCATGATGTATTCATGATTTCAAATCAAATATATTCGCGCTTATATAAAATACAATCTATGTAATTAAAATTCATTTTGTTATACTTATATATACTTCTTGTCTGAATGATACTCATATACTTGTGCCTTTCTCAACTGTGTCACTTCAATTAATTTGCTAAGGTGTAAATTTTTGCACTTATCTGTGTGCTCATAAATTAATCAGAATTTAACGCTCCGAAGATTTTCTTCTATAAACTTCCCTGTATCTGCACTCGAAGCATTGGGTAGCGAATTCGGTGCAGCCAATTCAAAGCGCAATCAAACGAAAATGTCAACTAATTAACGCCTAAAAGTATGCACTCGATTACGTACACCAATAGGCTGAGCAGTAGCATAAACACTCTTTTATAGAAGTAAATCAATCCTTTTTGCGCATTTCATATCTTTTTCAATTAAGCACTTTAAATCAAAATAACAGCAGCCTCACCAATCTCCTCACCGCTGCTCGCCCACTTCTCAATCCTCACTTTGCTCCGCACTCACTCTATATCAATTGATGTGTCAATATTAGACGTTTTCATGGGTTTTTTCATTCTCGATTTTGTTTCAGCTTTGCAATTTCTTTTCAAAATAAATAATTAAACGTTAGCATAACATATGAAGCATGCTTTTAGGCTTAAGAGCACATAGTTACCGTACAAAAACGAAGAAAAATGAAACACAAATTACGTGTATGGCACAGGTTACGCCGTAAATTTGCCATTTCGACAAGCAAATGCATCAATAAATTTTTATTTTGCGCAGAATTTTAGCTCCACACATTCTTTTTCTTTTGCCTACGTTTAGGCGATTTAAATAAAACATATAGGCGAGTACTAAGCATGCTCTTAGACGTGTTGTATTTGTTTTTTTGCAAAGTTGGACAGTACAATTGAGTTAGGAATGTATCTGAAAATTTTATTTAGAAATTTTAAATTTAGTAAATATTGAAGTAAATGGAAACTAATCACAAATAGTGCAGCTGTAATTAATCTCAACTCGAGAGAGTATGGAACAAGCAATGCAAAATGTATTTAGAATGATGTGAACTTCCATACATCTATATGAAGTACTTGTACATCTAAATATGTCCGAAACATATTATTTTGAATATACTCGTTGTTTATATACTCGGAAACTATCCGACCAATTTTAACCAACATGTTTGTAGAATATTATGGGATGAAAAAGGAATGGTGATAAGTAAGCTAGGTTAGTTATGAACTTTTAAATTACACTGAAATGTAACAATGACATAATAATGAAAACATTATATTTTTGGATAAAGTAATACGATAATTTGAGGATCGAGTTCATTAACTCGTCTAAAGTGTTTTATTACTGATATTTTGTAATATATAAAGTAAAAATGGCAGAAAAAACATTAACTGAAAGGTGTGTATAAAAAAAGTGCAGTGAGTAGAAATGATGAACAACGTAATGAACATTTGAAAATTGAAAGATTTTGGTTAGCAAAAACTTGAAAATAAATTACAAAAACAAGGTGTAGCGAACCTTTTTAGGCGCTACCAATGTGCAATAAAACCCAACACATGTGCTGAACAATGATAACACTCGTTATGCCTACTGAATTTCGCGATCTGAATATGAGAACTATATAGACTTATTTTTTAAGACATATGTTTCTATAGGAAAGGCTCTTTCATTGAATCCGAATTCTTTTCTTACTGTGCTCATTATTTTGAACAGAGGTTAAGGCAGTTAGAAATCCAAACTATCCTCAGCGATTGCCAAATTAAGTATAATCACCTTAATCATCAAGATAACATTAGGACTAACATGATGAAGAACACAAAACAGAGATCGTATGGAATAGTAGCATAAGAAGCTTGGAATAGTAGTTTTTCTTACCAATGATAATTCAAAAGGTTTTAGCAAAAAAAAATTGTCTTTTTAGCATTTTATAATGCAAATAATCACTCTTAAAAATATAGCTCTTATCAAAACCTTAAGGGTTCAATGAGAAGCGCTTTTAACCTCTCGTGGAACCTCTCCATTACAATTTAATGGAAAGGGATAGACTGCCAATAGAAGTCGTTAGAGTAACCCTTAGTTTAGTTATCTTAATTAAAACGAAACTAAGTTTAGGTGCAGAGCCCACGGATTGCACATTGCGCAGTTCTCAATCAATAAGAAAAATACAAAAAAACATTATGAAAGCGCCTAAATGTATGGAGAAAATTGCTGTGCATTTGAGGTTTAGTTTAAATTAGAAAGTTGGCTGCAAGGTTGCAATTTAAATAACGTTTTCTAATTTTCTATTTCATTTTTCGGAACTGCTTTCGCAGTTAAAAACCATTTATGCACCTGCATGCAGGCCGCCCGTACCATTGGCTTGCATGCATTTATTTCATGTCGGATTTTGGCATCTTTTGTATTATTTGCCTTGCAATTTGATGTTTTCTAATAGACTAGAAACGCTCTGCAGTGCATGTGCATATGCATGTGCATGTGCAGTTTCGTTTGGAATCGAAAGCGCGCAATACTAAACTAGCCTGTGCCCTTTCATTAGCCAAAAACTAAAGGCAATTCAGCATGAAAAGCCGAAACCCTCGTGAAGATAAACTCAGCGTTTCCGCTTACAATTGATTTTGTATTCAAAAAATCGGTTTGACGTTTTCCGTTTCTTTTATTTTCAATTAAATTTAAAAAAAAAATAAAAGAACTGTTTGCTGCACGTGAATTTGATGTGGCAAGAGTTGGGCTCAGTCAAAATGTCCATTACATAAAACCCGATGCGCACAAAAGCCTTTAAATCAACGCAACAAAGACTTTTCCTGAGTGCAACTAAAACTACAAAAAATCAAGGAAAATTTCAAAATGAAAACTGTTTTGAGAATTCTGTGAATTTTGTGGTAAAAATTACTGCTCAAGCGTTGAAGTGGGTTGTGATAGGAAAAACCCACAACAGCAAATTTTCCTGTTGCAATTTTTTAAGTTGAAAAAAATTACAATTTCAATTTAACAAACCACGACCGAAAAATTTGATTTGAACGTTTTGTGGTTTTAGGATTATATGTTAGAAGAGTATATGCATCAATTCTTCAGAGCTCAGAAGTTTAGCTAAATCCTTAAAGCTAGTACCAGAGGTCTACTGGGAAATACTCACGTGACTTACATAAGTAACTTCAAAGTTACCTCATTTTGCTTTAATTAGTTATAGAAAATCCAGAAAGTTCGACTGCTCTCAGTAGAAATAAATTATAGTTTTACAATGTAATGAGTATAATATAGACTCAAGAAGAGTCAAAATATTGAATATTATAAAAAATAATAACAAGAAGGGACCTAAAGCCAGCAAAATATAAAAAAAACAATTATAATAAACAATGTAAAAAATTTTATAATAAATTATAAGTTTGTCTGTATATTAAAGCGTTATCTGCCATAAGTCTTCCCGAAAAGTATGTTTCGAAATAGTTCTAAACAATTTAAGGTTTATAGGGCAACACGATAGGGCAACTTGCTTCAGTGGATACTTAGAAACACCGTGAAATCTAATCATAGCCAGATCGTTTATATAAGTATTTGAGAAGAAATGGATCGTTATTTATAAAATATCCTGTATATTTTCCAAAAAACCAAGAAAAATCTTTATTTCACAATTAGTCTTAGATTATATGTTAAGCATCTTAAAAACAGCGATGAAAAGTTCTTATAATTGATACATAGTGTAATATATAGCGACGAGTTAGATCTATCTAAAGTGACACAATTTCGTTTCTGCATTTAAGGGAATACTGAATGACTTTCAGGATTGATGTGAGCCATGTCGAGTATACTGACCAGGGAGCGTGTAATTCTTCGACTAACTCCTCGACGAGGCATAAATATTGTGCAAATATTGAGTAATTTATTTTTGGTAAGGGAAAGTTGTAGTCTTAGCGAGTTGCAATGGTCATAATACTCTGTTGAGTTTGGAAGAATATTTTCACAATTAATCATTAATTTGCCAATATATATACAACATACGAGTATAACGTAGAACCAATTTTAAAAATGATAACTTCACAATAGGTAATTCATTAAATTTATGTTCAACGTTTTAATTGTTTTACTAAATTAAATAACTATGATTTTTTCTGCAAATGGCAGCTTAGATTACTTTATAACTTGCTTACTTGAAATCAATAGTAAGTAAAAATATTTTATCGTTGCTTCTTAACTCGTGACTGAAGAATAATTTTACTTCACTTTGTTTACAACGCATCGTCACAGAATTGCATAAACCGTAATTGAGTTCTCAATCCTGGCTTAGATAAATCTCATTCATTAGGTATTAAGCCTCTTGCTCATATCTCTCTTCCCTGATCACAGGAATGAAGTTTTGACATTCCTCTGGAAATCTTCTCCGTCCATTTCTAAGACGTGGTTTTAGTGGGTTTAAGTCTCACATTAAGTAATCAATTGTATTTTTTCTTATATTCATTTAATCATTTTTATTTATTTTTATATATAACTTTAAAATCTAGATTAATATTAAATGGATAGATTAATAACAAATGGATAGAAATAAAATGATAAATCAATCAATTGCCGACCATGGATAGATTTCTATTGTAAAACAACAAAGCGATGATATTAAATTAGATTGTTAATTTGACAGACTGAAAGAACTTGCAGGTACATATGCATAGTATTCTAATATGATGTCAGCCAATTAAATTAATACCTAAATTCATCTATAATTCGTTTCTAAATACTTTACCTTAAAAACCATCTTTATCAACACTAACATTACAATCATTATCCGATCGTGAATCCCGATAAAAAATCACTAATCGAACTTTATTTCAAGCCAATGTCATTCAGTGGCTCTGTTCTAGACTCCATGCTTCCTAGTCTACATTATTCTTCCAACACTAAAAAATCATTGAAAAATGTGTATTGCTGAAGTCCAATTGACCAATGAATGTTTTCTTACATCGAGAATCTTACACTTG